TGGGGCAAAAAACTAAGGTACAATAACAGAGTGCTGGAGAAACGTGATGGTGGATCTTCCAGCTTATCCTCCTTCTAGAAACATAGAGAACAGTCCCAAGAAAAATAAATTCAGACTTTAAAATTCAAAGGAGACATATGTGAATGCTAAGACTGCCTTTCCATTTCTTTCTCATGACCACCATTAAGGATTATTTTCAAAAGCATAAACTCACTAAGTAAGTAACATCTTTCTAGTTGCAATTTGCAAAAAAAAACACAAAACACAATCAGTAGGCTTACAATAAACAGTTTTTTCCTGAAAGATGCTGGAACAATGTATTCATCATATTCCATGGCTTCTCTGAAGACAACAACAAAATACAATAAAAAACTCTACCCAACCCAAATTCTATTCCATCAGGAAAGCAATATCACCTAGTTATTGTAAAAAGCTCTCTACAAGAAGACATAAAATTAGACCCGGTAGGCTTTTCCAAAAGTTTTTCTAGTATCTCAATTTTGCTGGAATTTACAGTGAAAATATTAGTTTTCCCTCTTCTTGTATAAATAAATATAAAATCAAAGTTTTCTATGCAAAGACCCCTCTTAAAACTATATTAAAAACAAAACAAAAAATGTAATGAGGTTGCACTTTAGACAATAATTCACCTTGACTTTTAGAACTGAAGCAACATAGGACACTTTGTTTTAAAATATAAGATTGCATTTATAATTTTAAGAATCAATAAACTGACAACCCAAGAAGAACTATTAAAGTGACATGAATTATTTGCCTGGTTAAGAAAAACAAATCCGTGGTGACTGTGTCTGTAGTCAGAGCAAATAATCTCTAAGTCCTACCAACCAATCTTTGTGACAGATTTTGTCCCCCTTTCTTTTCTGCCCACCTCCTGGTTCTTAGCTAATGGAGATGGGAACATAACTGAGCTGAAGGTAAGAGAGGATGAGAATAGATACTACACAATTCCCCTCAGATGATCTAGGCACCCCCCAAAGAAGTGCTACAGTCAAATACAACTGCTGGCGGTGCCCCAGCATACTATTTGGTTTGGACATTAGGATTCCAGGATGTGCTTGTAGGCCGGGAATTCCCCACACCCGCCCCCCGTTAATGTAAAGGTCAAATCATGTCTATAGTCACATGAATATGGATTCTGTTTCTTCATTTTGAAATTGGGGCAATAAAAACAGACCTCACGGGCTGAGAAATCTCACATAGGAAGTGAGATAACATATGTAAAAGCACCTATTTCAGAGCCTGTAAGTTATCTATAATAATAAAAGAGTAATATGCTAATTAGATCAGATGTCCTTCCGGGCAACCGAAGCCCGGGCCTCTGGTGCCAGAGGGTAGCTAGTGCTGGCAGCCAGGGGAAGGAAGGCCTTCTCTTGCACAAATTTCATGCATTGGGCCTCTAGTGTGTAATAAAAACAAAGAAAAAGGGTTGATTTGAATACTAAGTTTAACATTTAAAAGTTGATAAATATATTCTATTATTTTCTACTTTTAAAATGTTATCTATAATCAGCTTTAGAGCAGCATTTACCAATTATTCTCTGTAAAAAGGTTCCTCTCATATTACATGCTTCTTCTGGGAGGCATTTCCTTACTGTACCCCAGGCCCCCACCGGTATCAGGTCTATGGGAAGAGGCACTGTAGTGTAATAGGTGAGGGCCAAATTTTATGTGTCGATAGTAATAATAATAATTCTACCTTGTATGATTGTTGAATGTATTAGATGAGTTTATACATGTAAGACACTTAGACTATCACAGACACGTTAGCCATTATTAAATATATGTTAAATTTAGTTGTATCTGAAAACTGGACTTGAGGAATGTTATCTGAATTCACACAATGAAAACTTTAAGTTAAGCAAAACTCAGAAACAAATTTTAACACAAAATATCCAAAATACAATGCTTTAGCATATCAGTTATCTGGAAGATTATTCACATATTTGGAATCTGTGCTCCTGCTCCATAAACATGGATAAAAGAGAAGATTAAGATGGGGGGGGGGGGGAAACACACACACACAAAAAAACAAAAAAACCCCACCTCATTAAAAATGTTACCACTACTTTTAATTCACCATATGGTACTCAGACCTGCATTAAACAAATAAAAAACCATTCTGATAAACATTGTCCAGTATTAGTTACATTTTATATTTCCTTTTAAAAAGCAATACCATGCTGGTCTTTGATTGGATACCAATGTTATAAAGCAGCTCTATCCTGTAATGTCTGTGGTAAGTTTAAGATCTCTTACACCTACGGAATAGGAATTGAAACTGAATTACTAATATCTATAAAATTTCTTTCCTAAAATTAATAGTGCTCAAAGAAATACATTTAAATAAGAGAGTAGTGGTGGGTTTTTTGTTTTAAGAGTGGATTGTGGAGGTAAATTCCATAGTGGCCTACTTTGCTTTAGGATCAAAAGGAAGTTTGAAATCACCTAGGTCACCTCCCCCACATTTTATAAAGAAACTGAGTCCCCCCAATGCTATGATACCGACTGATAGGGCCAAGGCCACAACATAGATCTCCTGGCTCCCAGTCAAATAAATTTCCCTTCAAGTTTTTTCATATCAAATTTATCCAATTCATATCAATTCAAAACTATTTTTTGTGCCAAATAACTAATTCAAAAGAATTCTTGTTAAAACAAGCACACAGAACTACATTCATTCCAGTAAGCACCACAGCAGTCAGTTTACTAACTTCTTATGATATTTTCAAAACCCAATTAGGAATTTGTTTAAATATTTTTTTCAAATCACTTATTCTTATTGTGACTTTCAAATCACCCCAATGCTAGAGCCTGCATGCTCATGCGTGTGCGCATGTGTGCTTGCTCTCCTGCTCTCTTACACACTCTCTCCCCAATCTCTCCAAAAAATTGTGGGGATGGTCAGGAGAAATCAGCAATTTACTTTCTAATTCTACCATATTTGAGCCAGGTATATTGATTCCTTTTTCCCATCCTCAGCATAAGAGATAACAATTCCAAGGAATGAGTTAGTTTCTAACAATATATTTTAGTAACAATCCTAGCCTATTTTATTATTTCAGAAACCAACTTAATAGAAACCATCTGATGAAAAAGACTTCACTTGTTAAACACATTCCATTAGCTCCATAAAAATATTATTCATGTGCACACATGTTGTTTATTCATTTTCTGAAATTTTTACTTTTCCCAAAGCGAACCTTTATCAAAGTTAGTAAACTGAGAATGGAAAATAAACCTTGAGGTCATTCTATTAGTGTATAGTAGCAAAATAAAAAAGAATAGAGGTCATTCTATTAGTGTATAATAGCAAAATAAAAAAGAATAGTGTATTCAACATTCAATTCTGAGCTAATGCTAATCCAGTTAAAATATATAAAATGCCACCTAGATGTTTTTAAATAATATATATGAGTAACTCATAACAGTTACCTTTGCATTAAATTTCCCTTAAATTTATGTTCAAAGGAATGTCAAAAACAACTTTTTAAAACCAGACTTCCTGAGACTGGCCTTTTACCTGACCATTGAAACACAGAAACTGCTCCCTTTGGTCTGAGTAAAATCTCTTTCTAAAAACAGAAGTCAACAGAGCTTTTTGATCCTTAGGCCAAAAATTGGTTTTAAAGAATCTAAAACTAAATTTAACCAAATATTTTAAGATCCATTCTAACCATTACACCTGAATCCTTAGGAAGGTTTTATTTCCAAGGAATGACACAGTGTTTTCTTAGCAAACTTCCTCTGCCACTAAGTAAACTACTGATTAAAACAGATAATTCTTCACGAAATCTGTTTTGGCCCTTGCAGAAAGCGATCTAATAATTCTCTACCTACAACACATGTGTGTGTATAAGCATGTGTGTATACAGGTATATTTTTAATCCTTGTTTTTTTTAAACTAGAGATTGTACTCTTATGAGCTGTGTGCTCTTAGGAAAGTTATATCTTTTCATCTGTAAAATGGGATAATAATTGAACTTACCTTGTGGGGTTGTTGTGAGGACTGATTAAATGTTAGTTTATTATCTCATATAAATTTCCTGAACACATAAATGATCATACCTCCGAAATATACAATTTAGTGGGGCATCTGATGTTCAATTAACTATGAAACTCCCCTTATCTCATATCTATCAGCTAGACGGGCTGCTCACTAAATCAGAAACATCGAACAATGTGAGTCCTGCAGAATAAGGACACACTGGTGGCAGAGAGACAAGCGATCCTGGCCTGGATCTATTTTTAGGCCCGGTTTAATTAGCTACACCCCTAGTGTTAACATTGGAAAATAAACAAATGGGTGAAAGGCATCATAAAAGAGTCTCTCTGAGATCTAGGGCTCCATAGTACTCACAAATAACGCGCATGAAGAAAACACTCAGAGCGTTTCCCCAGCAGCCCTCGCTGGCACTAGGCAGGCCAGAAACTGCAGAGGTTTCAAAGGAAATTAATGCGTTCAGACTGTTCACGCCGCACACGGCTCGGAGAGGTTCCAGGTGTGAAATGTGCGCGTGAGAAAACTACAATTTAAGGGTTGGTTTTCAGTGACTTGCCACCTGACGGTGCAGAAAAGGGCATTTCTTTGGTTATAGAGTCACCGCACACAGGTAGGAATCGCGCAGTAGTTTCCACAGCCAGAGCTGTCCTTACATTACGCACTTCATGTAAATAAGTGGGGAAAACTAACCCTGATTCTCCTGTCAGGCCAGAAAGGTGTTACTTAATAATTATGACATCACTAGCCAGCTCCCTGGTATGAATGATGCCAAGTCACACAACAAGATCACAATGAGAAGTGCACCCGAGAAACAGCTGAATATTTTGTTCCAAGTTCCACTCCCCTCCTGCCCAAATAACGCCTGCTAAGTCCTATTCTAAGCAGCCTGTGGTGGGCACACGGGCAATTCCCGCCCTCTCGGCTGGCTGCGCACCAGGCCCTTTCCTTGTTCCTCTATCTGACCGGGGAACCGTCTTACCGGGAAAGGGAAAATGTTGTCAGCCCTGTTCAAGCTCTCTTCCATCCAGGACTTGGGAGCAAAGGCAGAGCTGGGGCGCGCGTACTTCTGGAGCTGGATGTGATTGCTCGCGAAATTCTTCTTCAGGGGCGAGATGGAGTTCAGGGGCGTGATCCCTCCGTTCAGCCCTCGGCGGTGGTCGCGGCCTTGGGAGCCGGCCCAGCCGCCGTAGCCGCCGCCCGGGCTCCAGGAGGAAGAGGGGGTGGGCGAGGGGCTCTGGTAGCTGCTCCAGGGAGACGGGGGCTTGCTCAGGCTGTTCGCCAAGTGAGGCAGCTGGTTGAAAGCAGCATTTCTGTGTGTGAAAGGCGGGGGGTGGGGACTGGCGGGAGACCTCCGCTGCTGCTGATGCTGGCTGTGATGGTGCTGGAAGGGAGGGTGATGAGGGTGGTGCTGGGAGAGCGGCCCGATCTGCGGGGAGAAGCTGCCTCCGAAGCCGGGGCTCACGTGATGGGGGAAATTTTGGAACAACAGAGCACCGTTATTCGCCGAAGCCGCGGGGACCCCTCCCTGGTGAAAGAAACTGGCGTCTTCGTTGATGATGGTGGAGGAGGAGGGCGCGATGGCCGCTGACCAGTTACTGAAGCCGGTCAGGGACGAGTCGCTGGACGTCAGGGGCTGGGCGGAGGTCCCGAGCCCCGCAGCTTCTTGGTAATCGAACCTTGCCAACACGGGCGATTCGATTCTGATCTTCTCCTTCCCGTTGCCATTTTCTGAAGAGGCGTCCCCTTGATTCTCTTCCGATTTTGCCTTCTCCGTTTCGGGCAGGATTCCAGCTTCCTGGCCGGGGCTGGGGGAGAGCTGCTGCTTTTCCAGGGCGTCTTGCTGTTCCTGTTGCTGACTTTTAGCTTTTTCGGACCCCAGGATCTCATCCTGAATGTTGTGGGCGGCCGGGGCAGGGAAGAGCCAGGCTGAGCCGGCGCTGCTGCCATTGGCAGCTGTGTTATTATTTATAAAAGCAGCGGGGCTGGGGGTGGCATTTTGGTGATGGTGTGGAGGCTGCAGGTGCGGGTGGAATCGGACTGGAAAAGCAGATTTATTCCCAGTATTGCTTTGCACTAGCACTCCAAACCCGTAATCCCCCATTTATTATTTTTAGGAGCAGAATCTTATAATAAAAAAAAAAAGGCCAAAAAATAAAAAATGAAAGCACGACAACCTGATGTTTCACGCCTTTGTATCCTCTACCCAAAATATCTGTTTGAAATGTCTTATTAATAGCTAGCTCAAAGATTGCAGCTTATCACCCTAGATAGTTCTGATTTGGAATTCTGGTCTCTGAGAAGAAAAGAAAAAAAAAATCACACTAAAAAAACACACCACACAACCCAAATCTCATCCAAATGGGCTTCCTTCTGGAGGGAATAAAAACGAAGGGGGTAAAAATCAAGTCTTTGGTTAGTAAAATAGGCGCTTTGTTTTTCCAAAGGAAAATGTACATGAATGACAAAAACACAGCTTCTCAAGCATCTATGGATGTAGAAGAATAAGCACTGTGCGGAGTAAAAATATATATATATGTATATATATAATTTAACAATCACATATGGTCTTCCTCAGCAGTTTAGATTCACTCACATAAAAATTAGAATAGGGCAAAAGGGGGCGGGGGAGAATACGTTCTTTTCTTGGCAGCTTGGTTAAAAAAAATCAGGAATAATTTAAGAACATTATATATTATATATTTATATAGATAGATAGATAGATTATATTAGGGTATCTGGGGCGGGCGGTGAATTCCTGGTTGCGGGAGAGGAAATCAGCTTCGACTAATGGGGAGGTGGCCGCAGGGAGGTGTCTGCTGTTCCGGGTCCGGTGCCTGCTCGTTGGCGGGGTGCAGCTTTGGCCTCGGGGGCTGTCCCTGAGGCTCTGGGTGCAGGTCTCGCTGCGGTCGCTGTTCTTGGGCTCCCCTCCGGCTTCCTCTCCCCCATGAAATGGGCTTGGAAACACCCGTTTCTCCCTCCGATCGGTCGGGGGTCGCGATCGGGAGGGATCAGCGAGACTGCAGGAGGGCGAGCCGGCGGCCCGGGGGCGCGGGGAGCTCGGGGGCGACCTGGACGGTCCTGCGGGCTCGGCCTCTTCCCCTCGCGGCGGCTCCGCGGTCTGGTTCCCTCATGGGACCCCGGGGCGGTTTGTTCAGTTCCCTCAGTTCGATTCTCCGCGGGGAGGAGAGCAAGGAAACCCCGCTAGTGTGGTCAAAGGAGACGGGCCTTCCCCCCGGTGCGCGCTCTCTTTTTCCCCCTAAGGTTTTTTTTTTTTTTAACTATAATTTAGAAGGCTTTTGTTTCTCCTCACGGTTGCTGGGCCGTCGTCGTCGTCGCCGCCGCCGCCGCCGCCGCAGCCGCCAGCGTCGCTTTACCCCGGTCCGCAGTGCCCGCTGTCGTCGTGGCGGCCTCCGCCTCGCTCTTCTTCGTCTCTCCTTCCTCCTCTGCTGTCGCCGCAGGCGCCGCCGCCGCTGCCGCCGCCGCCTCCCGGTGCTCGGGTCCCGCAGCCGCGGCTGAGTCCTTCTCCCGAGGACCGAGCCGAGTGAAATGACAACCAGCTGGAAAGAGCGAGAGACACTTCCGGTTCGCAGAGGGCGGGGTCGGGTGTCGCGGAAGCCCCGCCCACCCGCTGAGAGGCCAATCCGCGGGCAGAATTGAGGCTGGACCACGCCCCTCCGCGTAGAGGCCCCGCCCAGGAAGGTCGAAAAGTTACCGCGAGAGACGCCCCTTCCGTCAGCGCCTCGCCCAGTGAGGCCGGCCGCCCCGACCCCGCCCCCACTCGGAGCGAGCGCCGCAGGTCGCCATCTTTAGGGCGGGCAAAGCCCTCCTCCGCTGGCTATCTTCCCCTGCCACACTCGGCAGGAGGAGCGTGGAGGGGCTCGGGGAAGAGAACAGATTCCTTGAGCGCACCTGAAAAGGGACAAAGTGTTGGGTATCGAAGCGGTGACCCCTGGAAACGCGGATGGACGGAAGGACTGCCCACAGTAAAGATGGCTCCCCAGGCGTCACGTGCTGCCCCGAGCTCCGCCCCGGAGGGAGTCCTCCCAGCAGCTGTGTGGTGCCTAGAACTGCGTATGTCGCAGACTCTCCCTTCACCCTTCACCCCCAACCCCAACTCCACCCCCACCCCCCCACCCCGGCCTGGCTTAGGCCTGGTGCAGTCTTTCCGGCACAAAGGTACAGTGGCTGGAGCCGCCAGTGGCTGAGCCCCGGTGTCCTTCCCCTTCCAGCCCACCGTGCCCGCTGGAGCAGAGGGGCATTTTCAAAACAAAAATGGTGTGGCCCTCCCTCACCCGCTCAGATCTCTTCTACGGTTGCCCATTACTTGGCCTAAGTTTGGTGTTTAAGGCTTTTGTACATTTACACACACACACACACACACACACACACACATATATATATGTAGAGAGAGAGAGAGAGAGAGAGAGAGAAACATCAATGATGAGAGAATCATTGATCAGCTGCCTCCTGCACACCCCACATTGGGGATCCAGACCTAAATCCAGGCATGTGCACTGTCGGGGAATCCAAGCGTGCCCTGGTTCATAGGTCCACAGTCAACCACTGAGCCGTGCTGGACAAGGCCTTTGTAAACCTTAAAATTCAACCCCCCACCCCTAAACACCCCGCACCGAGCTGTTTCAAACATACCCTCAGTGCTTTCCCACTTCACTTCCCTTCCTCTCTTCTCCCCCCGGCAAACCCCTGTTTTTGCTTTAAGACTTGGTTCAAAAGCTACCCCACTCTGACGTGTGGATTATCTCTGAGCACCCAAGGCTCTGTGCCCCTGGTGCTTGTGTATCTCCACACTGTATGTTGTAATGGTTTATGTCATGGCACCTGTGCTCAGCTGTGGGCTCTTTGAGGAGAGGACCTTGGAGGTAGGAGGCATCAGAGAATGAATGCTGAAGAAATGGATGAACAAACCTGCAAGGATGAAGTCACTCCTGAACGACAGTCCCCTTTCCTAGTCTGAATTGGTTCATCCCCCGGCTATTTGGTTTGGAATTCCTGTCTCTCACACTTTCTCCGATAGACTGTGTAACCATGTCTTGTTCATCGTCACACGTTCCCACCACTGTGACCACCATCGGGTGCAGCTGAATGTCTTGCTCTCGGCACAAGCTCTAAAGATGTTGAATAGGTGAGTGTTTTCCTTTAGTAGGAAATTAAAAAGAAAGAAAAGGAAGGAAGGAAGGAAGGAAGGAAGGAAGGAAGGAAGGAAGGAAGGAAGGAAGGTCAGAATAGAGCCAGAAGTAACTATGGCAAGAGTAGGGGGAGAGTTCAAAGACCTTTAAGAAGACGTTTTTATGAACAAAAGTGGCTTCTACTTCATTTCTGTAGCCTTCCCTCAATGGCCCCAGCATCTGCTGCCTTGGGTTTTCAAATCTTCCAACACTTACGTCTAGAACACCTGTTCAGAGCCTTAGGGGTTTTATTCTTTCTCATTGTGTCACAAGGATGAATCTTACCTCTGTAGCTCTCCTGCCGGCATAGGGACTGGGCCTACTCTGCTGTTTATCCCACATCTGGGCAGACTCTGAGACTTAGCTGTCAGGTGTCATTTCCTCCAGACTGGTTCCCTGACTGCTCTCTTTCTAGCATCTTACAGAGTTCCCCTTTTTAATTGCTGCTGCCTGTCAGTGGATTAGTTTCTCGAAGCAAGCACTGTGCCTGATCTACTTCTGTTGTCTCCTGTAGCCAGCAGAAGGTCTGCAAGGAGCAGCCCCGGGACATGTTTATCAAATGACCTAGCGGATGTTGCATGCCCAGCAGGCAATGCAGAGTCCTTGTTGGAGCCACCAATGCTCAGTGGCTAACATGGCAGCCGTTACTTGGAGCTGCGAGGACTGACTATCTTTGGAACCTACCCACCTGAATTTGAATCCCAGCTCTGCCGCTTCCTGCTGTACAGCCCCAGGCATCCCCTCTGCCAGCCTCTGGTTCCTCACAGATAAAATGTGAACGCTATTCCCTCCAGCAGCAGGTTGGTGAATTACATGAGATGCGTGTGAAGTGCTGGGCTCATAGGTTTTCAAAAATGTCAGCTCCTTATTAATATATTAAATGCAGAGAGCTGCCTCACAGATGTCGTTCGCCTAGTAGCAGCTGCATGCATGAGCGAGTCCGGGAACCTGTGCTGGGTGGTAGAGGGAGGAGGCAGCCTGAACCTGCCAGGGTGCTACCAGGTCAGCCTGATCTCAGAAGGCTGTGGCCAGTGTGGGCTGGAGTGGTGGGCTGAGCTGAGTGACAGCCGGGCTCCTGGCGAGGACTGGGAGGATGGGAGAAGGAAGACGGAAGCAATTCTCTGGGCTCAGTCGCCTCCTCAGAAACCCAGGATACCCAGCTCAGGCTGCCCTCCTTGAAATCATCCTGGCCTCTGAAACTGTCCCAGGTAACCATGACAACAATTCAGCAGCTTCATTTCGGATCTCCAAAGGGACCTAGCGTTGCAGATGAGTGCTGGCTTGAGCACTCCGTCGGCAGCACAGGGCCCTCCCAGGAAACCCGCTTGCTCCCTGGGAAGCGTGGGGTTGCAGGGAAAGCACGCTCTGCCCCCACATGAAGGCGCAAATAGATTTTCAAAGAGGAAAGAACAAGAGGAAAGGCTGACACACCTTCCGAGAGCTCAACGCTTGGTGAGTGCATGTCCCCTGCTGCCTACTGCCCAGCCCCCTCTGGGGATTGAGGTCAACCACACCCCACACCCAGAGCCTCCCAGGAAGCAAGGCCCAATACCTCCTCCAGCAGCCTCCCTGAAAGCTCGGCAGCGATAGAAATCTCACCTCGTCATCCCACAGAGTGACCTCTGCCCCACTCCAGCTCTGATGTCCTCCATGCTGTCAACCTTTCCCCATCGGCACACGCCCAGGCTCCACAGGGGTCGGCCTGCTGACTTCAGCAATCGGGGCCACCACCCAAGGCTGCCCAGGTTGCACTCTGCAGCTCCACCAGGCCCCAAAGACTCCCGGGGGAATGGCACCCCGGAGTTGGACAAGCATCAGCCCTTTCCAGAAGGCACTGTGCAATTCGGACACCCCTACCCGAAGAACCACCAGGTGCCACCATAAAGCCCAGGGCACATGCTGGCTGCGTGCAGGAACACTGAAAGCGGTGGGTGCTCTCAGAGCTGGTGGCCAGGCGCTGGCCACAGGGCGCTGAGGTGCTGTGGTGAGCGTGGCGAGGAGGCAGGTCCGGGCAGGTGTGTGTCGGGTCTCTGAGAGACTAATCCCAGCAGCAGGGCTGGCAGCGGCACTGAGCATGCCAACGTGGCGGGGGATACAGATTCAGTGAAATAAACACAATGTGGTAAGCATGTTCAGAGGCACTTCCCGTGAAGGTCGGGGAAGGACAAACAAAACCAAGTTCCCAACACGGGCTTCATTCAACCCCGCCTCTGCTCTCCCCCTGCTTCAACTGGGACGTTTGTGTGCATGGTACTCAGACAGCACCACGGTCTCTAACCATTCGTTGCTGGTGACATTTCCTCTTGATGTCTTCTAGCCTCTGTGAATGGTGTTTCCTCTGCTTTCCCATTGTGGGGTGAGCGTTGGCACGGAGGCCACGGTGGAAAACCATCTTGATGGGGAGTGAGTGGGAAGCCAGTTCCCCCCAACGCCCTGGACTGAAATAATGCCGCATCCTGGCAAAGACCAGCCAGGCGAGCTGGATCGGGGAGACCCCCAGGACTGCATCAATGGCATGACTTGGGTCTTCTGTGGCTCCAGCCACCGTCGTGTGCGGGCTGCTGCCCCACGTCGCCGTGCTGCGGTGCCAGGGCACACGTGCTTTCCCGCCTCAAAACCGTGGCCACGCTGCCCAACAGCTGCCGGCTCGCACCCTGTGGCGAGGCTGGAGGCTTGGCACCTGCGATGCTGGACATGAACAGCTTTCAGAGCTTGCAGGGGAGATGCGGGGCCCGAGAGCCGGCCTCACAGACCAACACCGTGGCCCCAACATGGCCATTGACTCACCCCTGGTCCAGTTTGTCCAGTTTGATGATCTCCTTTCGGCCGGGGTTTTACTACCAAAGGAGTCTCACTTCAGAACGCTTCAGCAATAAAGGTTCAAAGAAAGTCCCCTCTATTAGAAAAACACTGAAGCCGGTCCTTTCTTTTCATGTCCAAATAGTCACTCTTTCTTCCTGCAGTATGTGTGTTACTAAAGACTAGATTTGTCAGCATCCAACCTCAAACTGTAGTGTGCATTCGTCCCAGGGGAGCCCATCACATGCACACTCCCAGGCCCTGCCCCCAAGAATTCCGACTCCGCATTCTCAAAGTATTTTCTAATAAAGTTACAGGGTACAAACTAAACACAATGTGGTAAGTTACAAACTGAATACCATGTGGCGACCCTGCCAGCGGTTCTCAACCTGTGGGTCCCGGCTCCTGTAGAGCCTAAGACCATCGGAAAACACAGATATTCACATTACGATTCATATCAGCAGCCAAATTACAGCTATGAAGTAGCAACGAAAATAATTTTATGGCTGAGGGTCAGTCACCCCAACATGAGGAACTGTATCAAAGGGTTGCAACGTTAGAAAGGTTGAGAAC